CGGCCGTCTGTTCCATGGGGACCGGCCTGCTTAATTACTTGATGTCGGCGCGCGTAGATCCAAGGAGCGAATCGTCCACCACCTCACGTCCATATGGCTTTGGTGGCACAATATGCCCATATATATGCACATCCCTGTAGTTGCTAGCCAAGATCAACAAGTACTCCCTAGAAGCTGCCAGCCATGGCCGCCAAGAACCACCGCATTGTGCCGCTGCTGCTGCTGCTCCTGGCACTATTCACGCTGGCGGCCGCCGGGCATCCGTCTCTGCCGTCGGACAAGCAATGCCCTCCGACCCCACCCACGCCGCCGACCCCGCCAACACCGCCCACTCCGCCCGGGGGGCAGACCCCGCCGACACCGCCAACCCCGCCTACCCCACCCACGCCGCCGTGCCGAAGGCTGCTGACACGCTGAAGATGCTGGTGCCCGTACGTGTACGTTCGTGGTGCTGCCCATCGCCATGGAGGCCGCTGGACGACAACGACTGCGGTTGCTGTCCTCCGCCTTCGACTGCCTGCCCTTAACTCCATCAATTAGTATCACCTTCCACCTTTGTTTTGGCCTCTTAGGCTTGTCGCAATTTGTAAGTTTTATTATTTCCTGCAAAAATGGTTTTTTTTACTGTAAATAGACTTTATTTCTCAAATAATAGACATGTCATTTACAAGCAGATGAGAAATAAAATCAGGGATCTTATCATCCCAAGAACTAGAAGATCTAGTAGTAAAAGAGTTCTTTGCTAATTCATCTGCCACCTGATTGGCCTCTCTATAGCAATGTCTGAAGGATATGGACGCAAAGTCCATCATAAGTTGTTTACACTCTGTGATAATAACTACCTTCGGGCCTAAATAATCATCAACTTGGTTCAGCGAGTCCACTGCGAACGAACAATCTGATTCAATTTCTATGTTGTTGCATCCAATGTGAGTTGCCAAGTATATCCCGTTTCTGATGGCAGTTAGCTCAGCTGAGTCAACTCCACTGATGTTTGGAACAAACCAACTTGCTGCAGCAATAAAATCACCCTGGTAGTCCCAAGCCACAGCACCACAAGCACCTGAAAGTGTTTCATACTGAAAGGAAGCATCAACATTTATCTTCACGATCCCATATCCTGGTTTTCTCCACATGTGGTCGTTCTTACGTATTGGTTCTTTGGGTATAGTTGACCTGAGAAAATTTGTCGCCAAAACCTTGATGGCTAGTGCAGTTTTTTCCGGCGTTTGGACTTTGACTCCCTTTACTATATGTCGGCGCTGCCACCATATATACCATGCTGCTACAACAACAAGCTCCGCCGTTGGTACCTCCGCATTATTGCCCTGAAGCTTTGATAAAATTTCTATCGTAATAGATCCTGATCTGTCCTCGACGACAGCTTTCCGTATGACTTGTAGTAAGCCCAGCCGCTCCCAAACATCCGTCGCTCGTCGGCACCTAAATAAGCAGTGTTGAATGTCTTCTGCTCCGACTAAACAAACTGGACATTGAGCCGAGCATTGGATGTGTCGTCTTGCTAATACACCAAAGCATGGGAGGGCGCCATGCAAAACTTTCCATGCAAAATGTTTTATCTTCCCTGGTATTTTCAGCTTCCACATATCCTTCCAAACTGAGTTTATATTTTATGTACCTTACCCATCAGCTCGCACCCACTGTGCCCCATGTTGATGTTCAAACTCCTTATGATAAGCCGATTGCACGGAAAACGTGCCTAATCGTGTATAGTTCCAAGCCACAAAGTCTTCCAACAAGTGATAATTCAAGGGGATTTGTAATATCCTATGAACATCAACAGGAGAGAAGACATCACGAATTAGATCCTCATCCCACTGCCCTGTGTACGGATTTATTAACTCATCAACCTTTGAAAGCATTGTTGCACCCCTATTCGTGATTACTTTCCTTGTGACACTTGATGGAATCCATGGATCATACCAGATATCAATTTGAGCTCCACTTCCAAC